CGGCGGGCCCAGGGACTGGGAACTATATATACCCGGGCACACGTGTGTGCCTGTCTGTGTGAGTGCGCGCGCATGTGACACGGAGCGGACCGCTCCGCGCTGCTACCTCCCCCATGTGCACGGCCGCCCCCTGGGGCTCGGGATTGGACGCCCCTTCCCACTGGTCTTGTCCCCCAAGCCTGATGGAACCCGCACGAGTGGAGGGGGGAACTTCAGATCCTTTCCTAGCTGACAGTGTCCTCCCCCACCCCCGCCCAGCTTTCTGCAACCTTCCTGCCGTTTTAACCCTTTACTGCCCTGCTTGTCAGGTTGCCTGACCACCCTGCTTCTGCCCCTGACTTCCTGCCTCAGACTTCAGTTCCCTGATAGGCGAGTGGCGAGAATGGAACCCAAGGTCTCTGGCTGCCAATTTTTCCATGGGGTTGGGGTGCAGGAGGGGCTGGCCCACGGCTGGGGGGGCTATTTTTAGCGGCAGTGGCAGCTCGGGTGCAGAGATGAGATGAGTAACCAGCTACCATGCAGTGGAGAGAGGAGGCGGAAGCTTTCATGAGGCTTTTGTGCAAGGCTGGGGGACAGCTGCCTCCCCAAACCCCAAAATGTGACTTCTACACCTTTAATTCCTCACTTTTCAGACCTGCAGCCCAGGGCCACTGGCACAATAAGACAGAAAAGTGTGTCTTGGCCACACCCTGCTGCCCCATTCTGGATGGTTGTCTTTGAGCACCCATGGAACCTTCTCCCCAGAAGCAGGTGCTCCCCCCAAATCCAGAAGCCAGAATTTGGGGGTTACACTATTCTGTGCCCACAGCTCTGCCAAGCCCTATGGAGGACCACCGAATAGAGTGCTTATGCACTTGTACCCTTACAGAGGGGGATGGAGGAGACTGTGTGTTCCCCTGACAAAACTAATCCCATTAGCAACTGAGATGATAAAAGTGGCCCCTATTTCCTGGTGTAGAGCAGCAGTTCCACAGTGCCTAGGTGACTCACCCCTACCTGAAGGGTTTGGGTGCTCAAGGTGTTCACCTTTTGGGCTTGTTCTGTCCTTGGGGGTTGCTGCTTACATCCACATGATCCCTCCCCCAAGCCTACACCAGGTGTCCCCTGATTCACCATGGTAATGTTAGTGGCAGCACAGCCCACGCCAACTCTTCCATGCAGAGACTTAGCAACCATGCCTGGCAACCATGGCAGCAGCTCCAGTAGAGAGGAGGGGGACAGGGAGGGGAGAAAGTATGTGTGTGTGTGTGTGTGTGTGTGTGTGTGTGTGTGTGTGTGTGGCTTCTCCTGAAGAAGGGATAATTTGACTCACTTAAAAAGGAATAGGTAAGACTAGACAGCCTGGGAGCCTCTCAAATTTTATGCCTTGTCTTTCGGCTCCGTGCCCAGCCCAGATTCTGAAACTGATTGGTTGGGTTTTAGGGGGGAAATAGAATTCCAATTTGTTTTCCACTAAAGTACATAGAGCTCTTTGGGTACAAACCCTTCCTTTTAGGAGGTGGGTGCCAGAAGGGTGGTTGTGGGCAGACTGACTGAAAAACAGCACAATAAAACCAGGTCTCTTGCTCCCTGATGTGGACTTTTAGAGAGAACCCAAACGTCCCCTCCCATCCGCTCTCCCCACCCTGATTCCATGCACCTACCAGCTCCACTGATGACTCTTTGCTTGAAGGTGCGTCCTTCTACCCAGGATCCCACCAGGGTACTTAGGCTTTTTAAAGCCCATGTCTCCTCCCTAGACAAGTCCTCCTTCGTGAGGGAATGTGACATAAGGAGACATCTGTCCTCTCTATCATGCACTCACTCCCACATGTATAAACATACTTTTAATTCTAATAACTTGGAGCCTCCCTCCCCCACGTTGGGGAATGTGCTGTGAGAGCTGTGAAGAGTTGAGGCGGAAGCAGGAGCTTCTCCATAGCCATGATGCAGCGCTGAAGGCTGAGCACTGACGAGTGCCGTGATGCTTCTCCCTGTGATCCACCAGGAAGCCCAGTTTGGAGGAACCAGTGTGGTAGGGCTGGAGGTTTATCACAAGGGACAGGGACAAGGAGCTGCCCTGAAATGGCGCCTGGTTGGATGGGAAACTATCATTACCTGCAAGGCATGTTGAGGTGGTACCCAGAATCTGGCTCACACCCCACAGTCTAGCAGTCCTTATGGTGTTTGGTACTGACTACTGCTTTGGTCCACATGGTTTCAGAATAGGGGATGGGTCTGATGGAGTGACTATTTTCCTGCAGTCCCCCATCCCCTGCTCTCTAGCTCATTGTTTAAAAAAACAAATTATGTCTTCATAAACAATGCAGACAAAAGTCAGTACCCAAGGCCACAAGGCCTTGACACCACAATCTTGACAACCCCTGCTGGCTCCAGATAATGGGCAATGAGTGGCTTAGAGTATTCAAGAAGGTCTCCAGCCACAAACAGATTCTTCCCACGTGGGTCAGCCTCTCAGGGTGTCACATTTTACCAATGCCTGTCCCCCTCTGGCTCCATCTTACCTGGGAAGAAAGGCAAGATATTTGTGGGTTCAAAGATAGTACCAGCTCAGCCAAATCTACAGTCCAGTGTTCCCTGTTGTTCCCTACTAATAGTGATAGGTCTCTCTGCCTAAAGGAGACTCTGTCTCTTCTGTGGAGACCTGGTACTAGTAAGGGGTTTTCCTTGGGTCCTAGGTGTGGTCCCGGCAGAAGGGAGAGTAAGGTAAGGGGGACTATAGGAAAAGGGCAGGGAAAGAATTACAGAGGTAGTGAGTGAGTGTAGTAGTAAGGAGCACAAACCTGAAGATGGACCATTTCAGTTCAAATTCTAGCTCTACTTTTTTTTAACCTGTGTGGCCTTGTGTAGTTACTTAGCTTTTCTGTGCCTTAGTTTTTTGTTTTGTTTTGTTTTTAAGAATTATTTATTTAGGGACCAGCAGATGGTGTAATGATTAGGTCATTGGACTCACACATGGCTGACCATGGTTTGAGTTTGAGGTCTTGACCCGGAGCCTTGAAACTCACACAAGGTGCGGGACCAGCAGTTAGCGTAATGGCTATGTTGCTGGACTCCCACATAGTCGACTGCGGTTCAAGTCCTGGACCCGGTGGCTTAAACTCATGCCGGCCGCATGTGCGTGCGTGCCCAAGATCCCGAGAGGAGAATGGAGGAGAAGGGATTGTGGTGTGGCCATCCCCCCTGGGGGGTGATTTCTCACCTTCTGTCTCTCTGTTTGTCTGCCTTATAGCAAAAAAAAAAAATCTCTCAGAAACTCACACAAGGTGTATGTGTGTGCATGCCCAAAATCCTGAGAGGAGGATGGAAGAGAAGGGATTGTGGCATGGCCATTCCCCTGGAAGTGATCTCTTGCTTCCTCTCTCTCTAGTGCATGTGCATACCTTATAGCAAATATCTCTCTTTTAAAAAAGGATTTATTTAATTTTATTATTATTTTAATAATTTTGCTACAGGGTATGTGCACTCACCAGAGACAGACAGAGAAAAAGAGGGAAAGCAAAAGTAAGCCACAAGGTCTGGGATTCAAACTGCTGTTGGCCATGTGGGAGTCCAGTACCTGCTGGCCTTAGGCAGGTCTCATTTTTTAAAATTTGTAACGAGAACAATATCTACTATTTTTTTACAGACTTATTTATTTACTTAATTCCATTTGTTATTATTTTTTAATTTGACCAGAGAGAGAAAAGGAAAGTGAGAAAGCAAGCCTCCAAGTCTGGGACTCAAATCGCGGTTGGCCATGTGGGAATCCAGCATCCTTAACCACCATGCTACCTGCCAGCACCTAATTTTTTTTAAGTGACAGAGGGAATGTACACTCACCAAAGAGGGGAAAAAGCACCCCCCTATAGGGTATGGTCACATCACAATCCCTTCTCCATCCTGTCAGGATTTTGGACACACATACCCCGTATATTTTTCAAATTGTTGGGGTCTGGGATTCAAACCACAGTCAACCATGTGGGACCCCGCTCTCTTAACCATTTGGCTATGGGGCCAGCCCAAAACAATATCTACTATTCTGTGGATTAAATGAGTCAATTTATGTAAAGTGCTCAGAATAATGTCTGGCACACAGTTATATATGTGTTTGTGTGTGCTGTTGTTGTTGGTAATGAGTTAAAGTAGTAGGAAGTTTAAGGACCAGTAGTTGGCATAATGGCTATGTTGCTGGACTCCCATGTAGTTGATAGCGGTTCAAGTCCTGGACCCAGTGGCTTAAACTCAGGCCAGGCGCATGTGTGTGTGCCCAATATCCCGAGAGGAGAATGGCGGAGAAGGGACTGCAGTGTGGCCATCCTCCCTGGTGAGTGATTTCTGTTTCTGTCTCTCTCTGTCCTTCTGGTGAGCACACACACCCTATAGCAAAAACTTCTCAAAAAAAAAAAAAAAGTAGTAGGAAGTTTGGAGAATAGAGCCTATATAAACTGTAGAAATCAAACACTGCAATACTATAAAGAGATTTCTGTCATTTAATTAGATCTGCCATGAACAGCAAGAACCTTGGCTAATACTCTGCCCTCTTCCATCTAACCACCATCTCCCTTCATATGCATATACCACAGGAACCCAAGGGACCTCTTTATAATCCTCCCCACTTACATGATACGAGAAGAATGGGCTCAGCCACCTCCATTTCATATATGAAACAGGATGAATAAAAAATATCTTTATGAAGAGTTTTGTTGTGCTATTATCTTAGAGTCAGAGCAGAGAAATGAGCAAAGGCAAGCTGAAGTCTAGGGTTGTCTGGGAGATCAGAAGAGTTGACCCAGAAATGGGGCTAGGTCTATAATATGGGGACTAGGACCCGCTAGCTCTAAGTTTTTTCTCAAGCGTGTGTGGCAGAGTAAGGACAGTTACAAAATCCATTCTCCTTATTCCCCCCGTGCCTCCTCTGGTTCCCAGCTAAAAGACAAAGGGACTCCTGAGCAGGGGAACAGAATCATAATTCTCCCAAGGTTTCAACTGATTCCCAAAACTTCCAGTAAGTGGTAAGTGCTGTCTGGCCCCTTCCCCAGCTCAGAGCTTCTTCTCTCCACCTGTGAGCACCAAGGCCTGCAGGATGTCTGATAGTGACACAATTCCTTTGACCACGTCATTCTCATCCACCACCACAAGTCGGTGAACCTGGCATAGAACAAGGAAGGAGAAAGGGAATGAGTGCCAACCTCAGTTAGATGAACCCCACAACTCTTACCCTCCTTGCCAAATCCACCCTTAAGGCTGCTCCCCAGCTCTTTCAGGATCACTGGTCTCCTACCTCTGCTTCCACCAGCCTGTTGATGATGGTCTCCAGAGTCTCATGTAGGTAGCACTTGAGAACACCCTCAAAGTAGTGTGATCGATGTTGTAGGGCTTTGGTCACAGACACATCTAGGTTGTTGTAGGTTTTTTCAGCTGCCAGATTCTGAGGAGAGGGAGGAAGGAGCTTGCAGGGAAAAATGGGAGCCAACACCCAAACTTGAACCCACCCATTCTCACCAAAGGGATTCAGGAAAATTGTCAGCCACACCCACTTTGCTCATTCAATTCTCTTCCAAATAGGATCTTTTTTTTAAGAAAAGAATTATTTTATTTAATATTATTAATTTACATTACCTAATTAATTTATTTATTTTTAAAGTTGGCCAGAGAGAGAAAAGGAAAGTGAGAAAGCAAGCTGCCAGGTCCGAGACTCAAACCATGGTCAGCCATGTGGGAGTCCAGCTGCCTTAACCACCACACCACCTGCCAGTTCCCCAAGTAGCATATTAGAGCTTGGAGGCTTCCACAATCATTAGGTCATAGAAGAACCCTCTTCTTCTCCCTCTCCATATTCAGGACCCCCTTGCCCCCTTCCCTACCTCCCAGTCCCTCCACAATCACTCACGATAACATCAAACTTGGAGTAGATGTCCACCACACGTCCTAGAGGGACAGAGGCAGCTCAGCAAGGAGGATCTGGCACCCAAGGCTAATCCTACCCACAGAAAAACCCTCCTGGCTGAGCTGAGGGGAAAGCACATTTTCCCAGAGCCACCCTGACTTATCTAGGGCCCTCCCTTTTTTTCTTTCCTTCTAATCTCTTACCTTTCTCATCCACAACTGGCAGAGCTGAGACTCGATGCTGTACAAAGATGCCCAGAGCCACGTAGACAGGGGTGGTAGTGCGGACCATAGCAATATTGGCATAGGTGCCAATCTGTAGCTCTTCCAGAGATTTAGACATGAACTCTGGCTTGGGGAACTCAGCAATCTAAGGAAAGAACCATCAAGGTTGATTTTTTAAAAAGAATTATTTATTGTAATTTTTTTTTTTTCAATTTTGACCAGAGAGAGACAGAGAGGAAGAGAAGAGAGAGCCCAGGCGGCCAGGTCCAGGACTCAAACCACAGTCGGCCATGTGGGAGTCCAGTGCCCTTAACCACCACACCACCTGCCGGCCCCCATTGGCTTGACTTTTAAGGCCCCCAAACCATCCTTGGATACCCCTCCAACCCAGTACTGAGAAATAAGAACTGGGCTGAGGAGCACTTACAAACAATTTGAGGAACTTGAGGATGCGCTTGTGGGTGAGGATGTACAAGGTGTTGCCTGATTCTGGGTCAATAACTGGCAGCCTGTGGATCTTGTGTCGAATTAACGAAGAGACAGCATCAAACAAGCTGTGGGAAGGTAGGGGGATGATAAGGCCCATAGTGCAAGGGCTGAGTGTGGTTACATAGCTCCTTAGAGTGTGTTTATAAACAGGAAAACAGATGGTTAGGGTAGGGGCAGTGTGCAGACTGGGCTTGGGGGGAGAGGGAGAGAGAGAGAGTGTGTGTGTGTGTGTCTGTCTGTTAGGAGGAAAGTCTTTTCTCTCTCCTGTCCCTTTTCCTGGATCTGCAGGTATCTAGGGTTTTACCTATGTTGACGGCAAGGTTCTTCCCCTTTTTGGGTAAATGGTCAGCGGGAACTCACCTGGCATTGGGAGAAATGCAGACAAGTGGTTTAAAGGAGTCCTGCAGATAGACCTCTGAAGAGAAAAGGGAAGGATCACAAAATACCAACATGGTGCTGCATTTCCCAGGAAACCCTTCATCCCTTTATCCTTTGTAACACCCGGTTCTCTTACATACCTCTCCAAGTTTCTATCTTGTGTTCCTCTAGCTCATAAATTTGTACCTGGAAGCAGATGCAACAGAATTTGAAACCTGATTTCCCTGCTTCTTAATCTCTTGTGGCTTATTTGGAAGAAGCAAAATGAGAATGAGGGACTCTAGACAGGGAAAGTGGTTTTGGTCACTGGGCTAAGATTCCTTACCAAGGCTGATTTATAGTAGCGGTGTAGAATATTGATGAAATCAGTGATGGTCAGCATGCCTAGAGACCAAGACAAGAGCCCTTAGCACTGCCCAAAGCTTTTTTTCCCTGTCCAGCACAAAATGCTTATAATACTGCATTCTAGGGCTGGCCCTGTGGCCTAGTGGTTAAAGATGCTGGATTCCACATAGCCAACTAAGCAGTTTGAATTCCAGTCCCAGCAGTGTGATAAACACTGGGCACATGTGGGTGCATGCCTCAAATCTCAACAGAATGGGGACCAGCAATTCGCATAATGGCTTTGTCGCTGGACTCCCATGTGGTCAACTATGGTTCGAGCCCTGGACCCAGTGACTTAAACTCACGCTGGGCACATGTACGTGCGTGCCCAAGATCCCAAGAGGAGAATGGAGGAGAAGGGATTGTGGTATGGCCACCCCCCCAGTCAGTGATTTCTTGCTTTCTGTCTCTCTGTCTCTGTCTCTCTGGTGAGCGCACATGCCCTATACCAAAAAGCTATATGCCCTATAGCATAATCACATACCCCTGGAGGTAGGTGTTTTCTTTCTCTCCTTCTCCCTGTCTCTCTGGTGTGCATATGCACCCTCTGACAAATTAAAAAACAAACAAACAAACAAACAAAAACACTGTTTTATAAACTTCTGCTTACCCACAAAACTTTGCTTCTTACTATCCCACAATGGGGCAGCTCGCACACCATTAGTCACCAAAGCAAAGAAAGCTTTCTTCACCTGTAGTTAGGACAGAAAAAATCATGAGGGAAAATTTACAGGGGATAGGACTATAATAAAGAACAGGGGTTGTGTAAAACATGGGGTTGAGGAAAACATGAGACTAATCCCATAGGAGGTCAGGATACTGCCCTTGGGATGAGACAGGATGAGAGGTACTGAACCACAGGTTCCAACGAAAAGGGAACAGAAAAGAGGATTTCACCCACCTGCAGAGAAGTATCAAATACAACCAATTTGGAGCTTGTGGGAATCAGGTCATAGCAGCGATGAGACTTCATGAAGGAAGTATACACACCGTTGTTGGATTCTGGGGTCTCTGCATAGGGTGGGATAGTTAGTAGCTTCTTTCCATGCAAAAACTCCCAGTCAAAAGAGACAGAAAACACAGCAGTATTCTAGATTCTCAAATATTTAGGGAATAATTTAAAAAACAAGTTCTCCTATTCTGTTTTGTTCCTATTGTTTCCACAAAACCTAGGTCAATTCCTCAGAAACCATGTATCCAAACCCTATCTCCAGGTAAGACTGTATCTACTGGGGCTAGCAGGTGGCATAGTTGCTAAGGTACTGGGCTCCCATGTAGCTGACTACAGTTTGAGCCCCAGACCCAGCGGCCTGAAAATCATGCTAGGTGCACTTACGTGTATGCCCAAAATCTGAGAGACGAATGGATTGCAGTGTGGCTATCTCCCCAGAGGGGATTTCTCACTTTCCCTTTCTCTGTCTCTCTCTCTTTCTCTCTCTGGCAAAGTGTACAACAGGTTCCAACGAAAAGGGAACAGAAAAGAGGATTTCACCCACCTGCAGAGAAGTATCAAATACAACCAATTTGGAGCTTGTGGGAATCAGGTCATAGCAGCGATGAGACTTCATGAAGGAAGTATACACACCGTTGTTGGATTCTGGGGTCTCTGCATAGGGTGGGATAGTTAGTAGCTTCTTTCCATGCAAAAACTCCCAGTCAAAAGAGACAGAAAACACAGCAGTATTCTAGATTCTCAAATATTTAGGGAATAATTTAAAAAACAAGTTCTCCTATTCTGTTTTGTTCCTATTGTTTCCACAAAACCTAGGTCAATTCCTCAGAAACCATGTATCCAAACCCTATCTCCAGGTAAGACTGTATCTACTGGGGCTAGCAGGTGGCATAGTTGCTAAGGTACTGGGCTCCCATGTAGCTGACTACAGTTTGAGCCCCAGACCCAGCGGCCTGAAAATCATGCTAGGTGCACTTACGTGTATGCCCAAAATCTGAGAGACGAATGGATTGCAGTGTGGCTATCTCCCCAGAGGGGATTTCTCACTTTCCCTTTCTCTGTCTCTCTCTCTTTCTCTCTCTGGCAAAGTGTACACACCCTATGGCAAAAACCTAAAAAAAAAGGTCTTGTGAATTTGACTAGACATGTGGTAAAGACTGGAGACTGAGAGCCACAAGGTGGCGTGGTGGTTTAAGGCACTAGACTTCCATATGGCTGACCACAGTTTGAGTTCCAGACCTGGCAGCTTGTTTTCTCACTTTCTCTGTCTCTGGCGAGCATTCGTACCCTATAGCAAATTTAAAGCAAACAAACAAAAAAGTCTGTAGCTACTGGCTCCCAAGGTTAATGAAGGTTGACTAAACCAGAAAGTCTATAATACTTCTCATTAACCTGTTCTAGTCTAAAAGCTTTTTTCTCATCTAGCTAGTGTCTCCTTTAATATATTTACCACATTTTTATTTGTTCTTTATTAATGGAAAAGAAAATCAATAAGCTTCTTAAATGCCAAGACCTGCAGATGGAAAAATCATGGTCCAAGCTGGGCCATTTCTCATCAAAATTAAGTTGAAACCCGGTGTTCAATCAGACTGGCCCAACCCATCCTGAGAGCCAATTCTGGGATCACCCTGTGAATCAAAATCCTTCTACCTACTCTAGAAGAATGGGAGATTCTGGCTAGGTTTACCTTTCCAGTCCCATAATTTTAATTTGGCTTGTTCCAAACTGAAAAGGGAACCCCCTAAAAATAACAGCCTGAATGTGCTACATACTATGTTATGTATACCTTCCAGTATCACTGGGGCCTGGACAGCGGCCCAGCAATAAAACACATGCTCTGCAAGGCTGACCCAAGTGGGAAGGTTACAGGTTTGCATCTGGAGACCTCCTTGAGCACACCAGGCACATACATGCCTATGATCCAGGAGTAGCTGAAGCTGGGAATAGACTGCTGGATCAAGACCCTGTTGATGGCTGGCTCCATGCAAAGTGGTAATGCACTGCTCAAGAGAACTGGATCCCACACGGCAATCGTGGTTGGTCCTAGCCCAGCCAGAAACACCTTGGGCATGTGCGGGAGTGTCCAAAATCTGACAGGCTAGAGGGCTGGAGGACAGCGACCTTGTGGAGGATGCTCATCTCTCTCTTCCTCTTTCATGCTCATGTGCATACATGTTCAATCATTAATAAATGGAAAAAAATTAAAATATCCTGTTGAGGATTTTTTTTTTTTTTTTTTGTTTGG